ATCGACAGGATGAGCAAAATCGTATGAATTTTTCGCCAGAACATGGGAATATACACTGCCACACTTGTGGACCCGCGGCCAAAAACAACCCCGTTCGTAAAACAGCACGTCCGCCCGAGTGTTCCACACAATTGTTGCATAATCACGCCGCCCAAACTCCATTCACACAGGCCCGAACCAACCTCGGCCCGAACAGTCGCCGCCAGAGCCATGGCTCGGTTACACTGCCACCCGGGTCTTTTCGCCCCAGACTTTCACGTTGGACCGTCGGGTTTTGCCTCTGCCTGCCGCACGCCCTTCCTGCTGAGTTCCCCAACCTGGGAACCGGGTCTCACGTGGAGCGTCACACGAGACCCGATGTTTCCTTTAGTAGTACAAGTGGACCTGCCGCAGCTACGCTGCGGTGAAGTTGCAGGGGAAAAAAAAAAAAGAGGCAGTCGTAATTACACATAGTCCAAAGATTGAGAAGCAGGAAAAACAAAAGTCAAAATTTCCACAAAGCAACCCCCTCCTCTTTCCTCCATCACCGTGTGTGTGCGTGCTGTGTCTGCGCGGTCCCGTCGCGGCCCCTCCTGCTCGTCGTCCCTCCTCCTCCATCGTCGTGGTCGTCCCATGAGGGTGGCTGCCATCATCATTAGAATCACTCCTTCCTCCTCTGCTCCCATCCTCAATCCTGCAGCCGTCATCATTTTTGTCCTTCTCCTCCCGCTCTCTCGACCTCCTCCTCTCCCTTGCGTGACCTCCTCCTCCCCCTCCTGCGACCTTCTGCTCATCCTTGCATGACCTGCTCCTCCCCCTCGCCCTCTCGCACATCGTCTTCCTACCTCCTCCTCCCCCTTGTGCGACCTCCTCCTCCCACTCTTCCCACCTTCTCCACCCCTCGCGTCCCTCTCCCCCCTCATGCGACCTCCTCCTTTCCCTCACGCGACCTCCTCCCCCTCTTCCGAGCTCCTCCTCCCCCTTGCATGACCGCCTCCTCCCCCTCACGCATCCTCTTCCCACCTCCTCATCCCCCTCCCCCCTCACGCGTCCTCTTCCCACCTCCTCATCCCCCTCCCCCCTCGCACGACTTCCTCCTTGCACGGCCTCCTCCTCCCCCTCTGACATCCTCTTCCGACCTCGTCCTCTCCCTCGTGCGACCTCCTTCAGACTCTCTTCCAGACTCCTCCTCCACTTGTACGATGTCCTCCTCACCCTCGCAACCTCCTCTTTCCCCTCTTCCGACCTCCTCCTCTATGTGTGTGTGTGTGTGTGTGAGAGAGAGAGAGAGACAGAGAGAGAGAGATCACGGCGATCGTTCCCCCTCGCACATCCTCTTCCCAACCTCCTCCTCTCCCTCATATGACGTCCTCGAAACTCTCTTCCGACCTCCTCCTCCACTTGCATGATGTCCTCCTCCCGCTCCCAACCTCCTCCTTCCCCTCTTCCGACCTCCTCCTCCCACTTGCACAACCTCCTCCTCCCCGTCATGAGACATCTTCCTCCCAGTCTTCAAACGGCGCCCGAATAGAAGCACGCGAAAAACTCGCGCCCCCCACATCCACACCATCCCTCCCATGTGTATGTGTGTGTTTGTGTGTGTGTGTGTGTGTGTGTGTGTGTGTGTGTGAGAGAGAGAGAGAGAGAGCTCACGACGGTGGTTCCCCCTCACACGTCTTCTCCCGACCTCCTCTCCCTGGTGCGACCTCCTCCAAACTCGCTTCCGACCTCCCCCTCCACTTGCACAATGCCCTCCCCCCCTTGCAACCTCCTCCTTCCCCTATTCCGACCTCCTCCTCCCACTTGCACAACCTCCTCCTCTTCCTCACTCGACCTCCTCCTCCTACTCTCCAAACGGCACCCGAATAGAAGCACGCGAAAGACTCGCGGCCATGCAAAAAACTCGCGCCCCCCACATCCACACCATCCCTCCCATGTGTGTGTGTGTGTGTGTGTGTGTGAGAGAGAGAGAGAGAAAGAGAGAGCTCACGACAGTGGTTCCCCCTCGCACGTCCTCTCCCGACCTCCTCCTCTCCCTGGTGCGACCTCCAAACTCTCTTCCGACCTCCTCCTCCACTTGCACGATGCCCTCCTCCCCTTTGCAACCTCCTTCCACTATTCCGACCTCCTCCTCCCACTTGCACAACCTCCTCCTCTTCCTCAGGCGACCTCCTCCTACTCTCCAAATGGCACCCGAATAGAAGCACGCAAAAGACGCGGGCCCCACATCCGCACCGTCCCTCACATGTGTGTGTGTGTGTGTGTGTGTGTGTGTGTGTGTGTGTGTGTGTGTGTGTGTGTGTGCGTCTGTGTGTGTGTGTGTGTGTGTGTGTCCTAGGCCCGACACGACGCACCCCTCCGATTTACAGCTCCGTACGCGCTTCCATTTTCAGCCCGGCGCGCGGCAGCGAGTCCGCCTGGGCCCGACGCGACGCGCCCCTCTGATTTACAGCGAGAAGACCAACGCGCGGTGTGGGCCCGACGTTTTGCGCGGCACCGAATTTCCTTGGGCCCGATGGGAAGTGTCACGTCAGGCCCTCTACAGTTTTTAATAGTATAGGGATGTAGATGTAGAAAAGAAATAGACTCCAGCAAGTGGCAATGGAATCAAGTTCCAACAGCTGTCAATCATTCTCTCTCTCTCTCTCTCTCTCTCTCTCTCTCTCTCTCTCTCTCTCTCTCTCTCTCTCTCTCTCTCTCGCGCGCTCTCACACACACACACACACACACGCACACACACTCACACACACACACACACACACACACACGCACACACACAACCTCCTGATGAGTCTGTGAAAGTTCAACAACGGTTTGGCACAGTCATGCTCCTTTTTTGTGGAGTTGTGTATAGAGAACATAACAACACGCACACACACACACACACACACACACACGGGCATAGTCATGGTTTTGGTGTGGAGTTGTGTATAGTGAACTGACCACACACGTCACATGCACGCTGGAGATTGGTGCTGCACATGAACACATCTGCTGGATGGTATTATGACACGAACACTGGACATGGTGGAAAATGATGACTACAGCTGAAGTTTACAGCGAAAGCACATACCGCAACATGGGATGGATAAGCCCATTTTCACTGTGTAGCTGGAGGAAAAAATCTTAAGCCTATTCTGGCCTATTCACACAGCAAGCTGGCGCCGCAGCTACTTCTAAATGCTAAACTTCATGTTCTACTCAAGCTTGCCATGGCATGAATCTTTGTTCTCTCCTTCCCCTTTTGTTGAAGTGGTTAGTCCCTCTAAACACACTCTAAAGGGCCAGGATTTGAACTCCAACCCCTCCCTCGAAGTTCCGCCAGCATGCAGGCCCATACCATCCTGCCATCCTGGCAGGTACACTACACAGCAGGCCATTTATCTTTTTTTTTCCCTTTCTTTTTTTTGCAGGCCATGAATTTTTAATTTGCAGATGCAAATGAAAAGCATCTCTGGACAAAAAAAAAAAAAA